CCCTGAAGATGGAGGCGATACGTTCCTCCGAAACGTCGGTTAACACCACATATACACGGTGCCAAATCCCAGAAGACTGCTTTCTTCATAGTCACCGCCGTGAAAGCCTCAAATCTTACAACAATAGGGTTGCTTTTGGAAACTGGGTGTTTTTATGTGATCCATACCAAGCTGCTGTAACCAGGACAGTTGGGGCACTAAGTCCAGTTGTGAGTTCTATTAGCCAGCAGGCAACGGCATGAGCACAGAAGCTGAAGAATCTCCTTTGTTGAGAGCTGTTACCAAGCAATGGCTAGGGAAGACTATAAAGGACTGAGACTTAGCACGTGCTCTCGTGATCTGTAAAGTGTGGAGATTAGTGATAGTGCCATAACTACTTGCAGCTGTGATCTGTAAGTGGTCAATAAAATGAGTCACCAATCCAAACCCCATCCCCACACTCTCCCACACCTAGCAATATATATGTGAATGACAGTCAGAGAGGCAAAGACATATTTAAAGCTCTTCATTTTTTAGAATTATAAATTCAGTAGTAACATATGTAAGATCTAATTATTTTTGGTTATAAATTCAGGTCTGCATACCTGAATATCTTCTATCTAGGTCTGTTATTTCTTGTGTTTAGATATGAATTTTAGTAAACAGTTTTGCCACAATAAATGAGACTGAATTATTGATACCAGCGTCTGTCATCATTTTGTTGTATAAGTATTGGTTATCTATACCTGTTAGACCACAGAACACATTGTACTGTATTTCCATTAAGGTAACAGTAAAGCTCTCATCTTTAGTGTTTCCATCCTGTTGTGTGTCGTCATTTATGATACTCTGGCCGTCAACACAGGAAATATTTCAAAATAAATCAATCTAAGTATTTACATTGGTTTTATTTAAAAACTATTACATGTTTCAGTCCATATTTTGGACCATCCTCAGGCAGTTTCATTAAATACATCTCATGTTATTGAAATATCTTAATATGGATCCATATTAGTGTCAATCATTATAATATACATGATACATATAATTATTTCCATTATTTTTAAAGTTCTCTCATCACTATAATGTAAAGTTCTTTGTTATTTGTCGTGTATTGTAGGTGGTGATTTTTTTTCAAAGGCTGTTGGTCTATGCCGATGATGTGAATCTACTGTGTAACAATGTAGATACCATGAAGAAAAATGCACGAACTTTAATTGATGCTAGTAAGGAGGTTGGTCTAGAAGTAAACACAGAGAAAACTAAGTACAAGTTGCTGTCTCGTCACCAAAATGCAGGGCAAAATTGATATAAAGATAGGAAACAGATGTTCTGAAAATGTGGCACAGTTAAGATATTTGGGAATTATGATAACAAATCAAAATGTGATTCAGGAGGAAATTAAGAGGAGATTGAATTCAGGTAATGCTTACTACCATTCATTCCAGAACTTTCTGTCTTCTCGTCTGCTGTCCAAAAACGTAAAAATTAGAATATACCAAACTATAATTTTGCCTGTGGTTCTGTATGGGTGTGAAACTTGGTCTCTGACATTAAGGGAGGAACATAGACTGAGGGTGTTTGAGAACAGGGTGTTGAGGAGAATATCTGGACCGAAGAGAGATGAAGTGACAGGAGGTTGGAGAAAACTGCATAATGAGGAGCTTCATAACTTGCACTCTTCTCCAAGTATAATTAGAATGACGAAGTCGAGGAGGATAAGGTGAGCAGGGCATGTAGCACAAATGGGGGAGAAAAGGAACGCATATAAGATATTGGTGAGAAATGCAGAAGGAAAGAGACCACTGAGAAGACCAAGGCATGTGTGGATGGACAATATTAAAATGGATCTTAGAGAGATAGAATGTGATGGTATTGATTAGATTGATCTGGCTCAGGATAGGGATCAGTGCAGGGCTCTTGTGAACACAGTAATGAACCATCAGGTTTCATAAAATGCTGGGAAATTCTTGAGTTGCTGCAGATTTGGCTTCTCAAGAAGGGCTCAGCTCCGTAAGTAAGTGAGCGAGCTCTTATTTCACAACATCCTCATTTCCCTCCTCTTTGTACTTCTTCATGATCTCTTCCTCCATATCCTTTTCTTCTTCATCTGTGTCCTGACCCACATACGTGTAATTGTGTGTTCACTAGAATGAGTACAGAAAAAAATACTGAATGCCATACCATAATCTAATCCCTACCCCATAGTCTGTATCTCCTGTTTACACTGTGCATCTTCAATTCTGTGTTAATATCCCCTCTACTAGTCTTTCTCTGCCACATGAATATTGAATCCTTTCTTGTAGTCTAGGGGTCAGTATAGCAATGAGCTACAGGGTGGACAGCTGGGGTTCAATTCTTTCAAGGGGCAAGAGATTTCTCTCTTCTCCATAGGGTCCAGACTGGCTCTTTGGCCCACCCAGCCTTCTATCCATTGGGTACCCGGGGGGGGCTCTTTCACCGGGAGTAAAATGGCCAGGGCGTGAAGCTGAACACTCACCTCCATCTAGTGCTGAGGTCAAGAATGGCAGAGCTATATATCCACTCCTACATATGTCTTCATAGTTTGATGTGTAAGTAATTAAGCACAGAGACAACTTCACTTTACCTAGCATATTTGGTTGAGGAACTATGCTACAAGCTGGAAAGTCGCAGGTTCGATTCCCGATGAGGTCATTGTATTTTTCAATTTACCTAATCCTTCCAGCCGAACTATGGCCCTGGGGTGGACTAAGCCTCTAACAGAAATGAGTACCAGGAATCTTCATGTGTGTAAAGGGCGGCCGGTGCGTAGGGCTGAAAACCTCACCACCATCTATGAGCTGATTGTCTAGAGAAAATATGGGAGCCTCGACGTCTCACAACCCTATGGGCCTCCACGACCTGTTACAGGGTTAGCTTAACCTTCACTTACCTGTAGTTTAGTAAGTGAAACTTCCAATGTCAGGACAGTGTGTCAGTAAGCACCTTCAAATGTGCCGCTTTCTTCGTGACAATGAGTGATCTACTGCGATTGGCTGTCGGGTTTGTCACGTGGCCTGTCAGAAATTCCTCAGCCGCTCCTCCTATATTTCACCTGCGGCTATTGTCAAAAATGTGGGACCTCAGAATCTGAGGTACAGCGAGACCGAAACTTGGCGAGTCATGGCCGTTGGATCGTTTCACCAGTTCGTGAATGAGCATGCTTCTGATTGCTTTAGTACCNCATACACACGGTGCCAAATCCCAAAAGACTGCATTCTTCTACAAATTTGATTCGAACTTGGTATAAAGGTCTTGGTCATAGAGATCGCAGCTGAAACCGTTCTAGTGTGCTGGTCGACCGTAACAAATATCCCAGTCCTGCTTCGTATTCTGGAAGACTGTTTCGATTCCCGACCAGCCATTCTAATCGAACGGGGTTCGTGGCTCAATTCAGGGCCCCAAGACATGAGAGTACCTTAAAGTAGATCATGTCTGTTTCCTGCCACATCTGCTTTAATTCCCCATTCTTAACCACCCCCCCACACACACACGAATCCGATCTCTGCGAGATGTAGTTGATAAAATTTAGTTTATGAGCAACCAGCTGGTCTTGCAAAGTTTAAACGTGAAAGCGACGTTAGACCCATATTATATAGGTCTTGAAATTGCACAGTAAAGGTCTTAACTAGATATTAATCATTTGAAGACCCGGCATCGCTAAAACATTATATTCCTCACAAATTAAAGGCCACACTAAATTCGCGGAATACTTACTACCATTCTGTTCAGAATCGCATTTTCCTCTATACTAATTATCTGTAAATACAAAGATTAAAATGGAACAAAACTCACTTTAACTCCGCGGCTTTAGTCCGCAAGCGAGCTGTACCGACCGAGCCACCGCCGCTTGTCGGCGAAATTAGTAACAACTTTAGCGGATAGAGGGTGTCGCGTGGTCTGCGCAACAAATCCCCACGGCCGTTCATTTCGGTTTTCAGGACCGGATCCGCTATTTCCTTGAAATAGCTCCTAAATTATCCTCCGGACTCTCTACTTCTCAGAAAATCTGGTAGCGTCGAGAATCGAACCCGGACCTCTGGATCTCTAGCCAGGAACGCTGAACACTAGACCACAGAGGCTGTCAACAAAACAAACTTTACTTGTTTTATATGGGTGTGAAACATGGTCTTTCATTCGAAGAATCGTACGAGAATTGAAGATTTCAGACCTAATTTTCACTGTGTAGAATATACGTAAATAAATGTAATTACTATCGTAAATGTCTTGGTCTGTGGTACTTTTGTGTTTGTAGTTACGCTAAGGCCGCTTTCCTTCATTGCCATGCGTGTACTTTTAAGGAAACCAATGCCAACCATTTCTTTGTTTCAGTGTACAGTTCCACAAGTGGCCATGTTCAAATAATACGACCAGAATTATGTTTGAGGTTCGAAGGTGTTCACCTCGGTGACCACAAAGAATACTACCTTCCGGGATGTAATGCCGCGCAGTCCGATAGAAATTTGCCGACGTTTCGGAGGAACGTACTGCAACTTAGTGTCGACGAGTAACCCGACGTTGCTCCGAATGTCAGTAAAACAACTTGCTACACAGCGTCACATCCGCGAAAATAGTATACTTCGGAATTTCATTTGTTTCTTTTCCGTTTTTACCGTATTACATTGTATCGCCTATTGTTCCATTAATGAAATTTTATGTGTGGTTGTTAAGATTTCCGATCACTGGCCGCACATTCGAAGGTATGTACTGTCTTCTACAGCAGTAACATTTGGATCGTAGATTCGATTCCCGCTTGGTGTGTGTCTACTGTCTTTTCTGTGTTCGTGTTGACGTTTGTAGGTACAGTCTTTGAGAGCCTTGAGATGGACCGATTCTATACATGAAGAGTCCTACTTAATATCGACGTCACAGCTTCCGAAACACGGAAAGCGAGAGTCCTTGGACCGTATTGGTCTGTCATGCTGTTTGAGAGGAAGACTGTAAAATTATTCATCTAGTATGTATACAGAATGTTTCAAAAGTACAGTCACAAATTTCAGGAACTATAAGGAAGATAATTCGGAAAGAAGAAACCGGATATAAATATTGTATCGCAGCGTCATATTGCATTGTGTTTCCAGTTGTATTTACAATGTGATTCTAAATTATTTTCGGGGTTTCCGTGGCCTATAATTCTAAAACTGGGGAAAAAATAAATAAATAAAACTATATCTGTTACCCAAGTTGGAAGATCATCAACCAGATGTGGCGTTAGAGCAAGATGGTGCACCCCCACATTGGGCTCTTATTTTTCGAGAATTTCTTGACATGCTTTTGTTTCATTCTGGTCCGTCACACTAACGATATTACAAAAGATAAAACAACTCCGTCCAGTGTGACTGTTGAAGTTTTTACTACTTCAATTCTTAACACCCTTACATGTTTCGCCTTTCTTGACGGGGCCCGAACTTGTGACGCCTGTCTTTCTTGAGAAGGAGGTTCTTTGATATCGTCCTGTGTTTGTTCGTGGCGTGCACAAGTTCGGCCCCCGTCAAGAAAGGCGACGAGAGAAAGGACACGAACCTATTTAGTTTATAAATTTTAACTTAAATAACAAAAGTTTTAAAAAACTTCAATATACCAAGACAACCGCTGTAGTTGTGAAAACTTTGGATTTTGTATCTATTGTGCATTACAGACATTGTATGTGTATATGTATTTTAGCATTCAGAACACCCATTGTAATAGTGTTTTCCAAAGAGTATCGATGTCCCTCTGATGATGGTCTATAGGGACCGAAACATGTTTGGGTGTTAAGAATTGAAATAGTAAAAACTTCAACAGTCACACTGGACGGAGTTGTTTTATCTTTTGTAATTCTTGACATGCCTTTTTCTGGGCGCTGGGTTGGGTGTGATGGACCAATTCCGTGACCTCTGCGCTCACCCGATATTACGCCGCGTGATTTCTTCCTGTGAGGATATGTTAAGGACATGTTTAGAAGACTCCTGTAACCCCCCTTAATGAACTGAATCTCGGAATTGTTGCTACGATCCAAAACAATTACACTGCAAATGTAGAACCCTTTGAAGGAAATGAATACCGCTTGGACATCTTACGTACCGCGAAATACGGACATGTTGAAGTTGTTTAGCATTGTGCAGCACTGATTCTATAAATGGTAAAACATTTAGAGTTACATTTTCATATTTCGTAAACAGTTTTATTTTGTTTTTTCCGATGTGAAGATTATAGGTCACGGAAACCCTAACAATAATTTAGAATCGCTCTGTATTTTCGTCAGTACAACATCTGCATAGACGCATTCTACATTAATTATCAACTACACGTTTAGGCCTTTCGGCAATCATGAGATATTCGTGTTCAGCGCTGAAAATTAACATTTTAACAAGGACATATCTAATAACATTGCATCCCAATATGTCAAGTCAGCAACATAAAACTTATCCACCGAAAACTTTAGTCAATATACGGGTGAGCAGTGCAGCCAACAGTGAATATACATACCTGATGACGGCAGAAAGGCCGAAACATATAGAAGATAATTAACGTGTAGTGTATCTATATAGAATTATGCTGACGGAAATAAAAGTTTGGGAAGAACACAACACCTCTGCCTTCAGGGTTGAAGAGTAAGCCACGCAAGAAACCAATATGAAGAAGGTAGCACCCGAAACGTCTGTTATCGTTCAACGAACTACATGGAATAATATCCCACAAGATAGAACTCTTGATAACTACTGCTATGAGAACCTCAAATACCTTAAGCTGATCATAAGCCGTCGTTCTTTGACATATAACAACTACACTGAGAAATTTGAAACAAAAATGTAATGACTACATTTTATGGATCAAATCTAATTTTTTTTTAATTGGATAGATTCAGCTGCTGTCGTCTATGAAGACTTGTATCTATTTTTAGATATATTTTAATTAATGTAGAATTTTTACAAAATACTTTTTGTTATATTGGTTGCATCTCGTACTTTATTCATAAGATTCTCCATACTACCATCATAATTCTGGGCGCGATTTTAACGATTTTGTAAATGTCAAAATATTAGTAGAAATAAATCTGTGGTTAATTATTTGAATATAGCTCAAGCGGTTAGTCGCTGGCTTCCAACCGCGGCGGCCCGGGTTCGATTCCGGGGGTCTGGTCAAGTGGGATTTATGGTGGACAAAGTGGCGCTGGGGCAGGTTTTCTTCGAGTACTTCGGTTTCCCCTGCCAATCTTCATTCCACAAATTGCTCCACAGTCACCCTCACCTATCATCTGGGGCTGGTTCAATAGGCCAGAAGTGGCCGCAGTACAAGGGACTGAGTCCCACCCCACTAGCAATAAAAGAAAATAATTTCAGTTAGAAATTATGAATATGCCAACTACATAACTTTTCGCTATGAGTTACGGATTTGATTTCAGTTTTGGCGAGATAAAATTAGAGTTGTTTCACGAAAACAAAACTTAATTCCAAATTAGCGCCTCATTCTCTGTCGAGAAATACAGTAGTCGCCAATGAGGTTACTGTTTTAAGTTGTGTACGTTGCTGATTGACCGAAAAAATGCAAAACTTGTTCATGTTCCCATTTTAATAACAACTCTCAGACAAAACTTCATGAAAGGCAGAACGAATTTCCGTGGCTTTCTACATAATACAGAATGCAATCTCCTCTGTAAGCATTCCGAAAATCTAATCCAATCTTCCACGCGAATCTACGGCGATTCATGAAGTTTATGTTGGTCTATACAAGCCACACAAGCCGTCCACCCCGTAGCGGCCTCTAGCGGTTGTGGTTACTAGAAAGGAATTCAGCCAGGTAGAACGGGAAATGTGGCAAGGTACCAGTCAGCCAGCAAGGAGGAACACTTCTTCAGTCAACGAAGATGCATTGAAGTGGTTAGATGTGGTGTAACAGCAGGTTCTTTAATTTAATGTTGTAAAATACAAGTGTTGGTGGTGTGTGAGTTTATATTTGAACAGTGTGTATATATCTTATAGTGGTGCAGATCGGTAGCCGAAGAAATACTTTCCCACTTTTCATAATCACGAAACAAAAAAGCTACAAATTGTTATACCTACCTCTGCTTTAACTGAAAGATTTCAGTAGCAATGCCTTGTTCAGCTGTTACTCTGTCTTTAGCTACAATAACTGCAATAGTGGCTGTAGCTCTTTTGGCTATCGCATTTTCAACGGATAACTGGGTGTATGTTGATGTCAAAAGGGCACAGATTCACCAGGTGAGTTCCATTGTACAATTTAGTTCCTTCCATTTATGAAACTTGCAGCTAATTCAAGTTACATTATTTTATATGCCTTTCAATGTGTATCGGAGGCCCTTTCTCGTGGTGTAAACCTGTTTCGTGAAGCTAGCCGCCCACCATCATCTAGGATTGCGGTTAAGAATGCGTGGAGCTGCATCTCCACTACTATGACTTCTTCATGCCTAACTGCATAATTAAGCACAGATACAATTTTACATTTACCTTAACTGGTATTTAGACTAATTTGCAGAATTTTGTATTACAGAAATTGCAAATAAACTTCATTGTCATTTTGTCAGTATTTCAGGCTTCATGCCCGTTTTGCACCAATATAGGGCGGCTCAGCTCCTTCAGTTAACTTACGACCGCTCATCAGAATTCTGTCCGTCCCAAAGTGTAATAATAATAATAATAATAATAATAATAATAATAATAATAAT